TCGGTGGCAAGATAGTGTTGGCATTGTTGGCCCTTTCTTGCGGCCTAAAACGCCTGCACTGGTCAGCCGCCAATCACGCCGCAGGCAACTTGGCAGGTACGATGACGCTGTTTGAGTGTTTCAATAACCATTTTGGTCTGTCCTCATGATAAACTCTGATCCAATTGTAGGTTGACAAGAGGATTTGCTTCTCAGCGTAATTCTGGTTTGTGGCACAACTCAGAAGGTCTGGTAGTCTGAACACGCAATAGTCAACCAATCAATCCCGACCCTCATTTTCGATGATTCGAATAAAGATTGACAATTCGCAGCATCTCTGCACAACGATGGAAAGATCGAGGGTATGTATCTCCTGCGAAGATGAGTAAACATAATTTGCGCAATTCATCGAAAACCTACGACTAGGAGGGACATTGACATAAGAAACGAAATGAATTGGCCCAATGCTCGAGCCAGGAAGGCCGGATCGCCGTCAAATGACGACATCTCCCAGAAACGATAGTTTCAAAAGGTCAGATTCATAAATCAGTAAGGATTATCTTGGGGCCGGATGCACAAAGAACTATCAGAGGTTCTTAAGTGAACCACGACTCTAGAACCCAGGTTTTAGAACCCAGTACAAACAAGCTTCCAGTCGATTTGACGACCCGACCTATAAAGAATTGGAAAACATACGAAATATCATGAACAAGAGACAGTCCACGATTTTAATTGGACAAGTTGTTTGTGCTTTTTGCATCCCAGGAGTATGTAGGTGAGGAGAGGCTTAAGGACTTTGAAGAAATGAAGGAGGAGTTCGAGGATGCCATTGAAGAAATGACGAAAGAATTTGAGGATAGGATTCTAGGATTCAAAATCAGAAGAATAATGCGTGGAGTGATTTTTAGAACGCCCTTGAGAAGAGAGCTTAGGAGTACAAGAGGATTCTTCAAGAGCAGAATAATAAAGCCCCGCGGAGGGGGGGTGGTTGCAGAGGGTCTTAAAGGCCTGAAGCCTGCACATGAAAATATACTCAAGAAGTGGGAGGGTGATGCGGCCGAACTCGAACAAATTCTTCAACAGCAGATGGGTGGTGTGGAGAACACTCTAACGCAAGCTTTTGAAATTCAAACGAATTTGCGCGCAATAAAACATATCAAGGCCCTCGAAGATCAAGAACTGGCATGGGAAGAGAAACGCCAGGTAGTCTTCCAAGAGCAAGAACGTCGATTGGAAGAAGAACACAGTAAAACCTTCCAAAAGTAGAAACGTCTGTTAAAAGAAGAGCACGTCAAGCCCCTCCAAGAGCAGGAACGGGTGCACCTCAAAGCCGTCGACAATCATACACGGACTCTCAAAGAGGAAAAAGACACGTTGACAAACGGTCATCTAAAAGACCTTGCTGAGCAAAGCGGAAGTGCGACGATACTATACTCGGGCCGGAGTCGGGGCATAAGAAGCTCAAATTATTTAACGAGCTTACGAACATTCTTCTGCTAATCGAAAGAACAACCGCAAGTTCTCTTAAAGGACCGCTTCAGGCAGAGAGAATAGCGGGGGATCGTACATAGATGAATTACGACCAAAGAGAGGCTCTACGCCATCCATCTCGTCAACTGTTTAGCAATCGAGAAAGCGAAATCGACCTCACCATCGAAGCTTTGCAAGCACGCCTTTTAGGATTCTCAACAAAGGAAAAAGAATATCATGCTAGAGAGAAAACGAATAGTACCAAGCATTTGTGATTCGGGTATTCTGCGTTGTCAGCCCGGCCCGAAAAGCCGTGGTTTTTGACTTGAAAGAAACCGAGATCGGAATCTTTTGGGAAGATGAAGACGAACTTTACTTGTAAGTCAAATAAACTTTAAATGTGGTAAAGAAATTCAATATACATCAAGGCAACTTTATAATGATAAAGAGGTAACTGGAAATACTAACAGAAGAGGGCAACGGGAACCGATCGCACTGATATACCCCCACGTTATCGCTTGAACTTTCGCAAGCCGTGTAGATGAGGAACAGAGGTGCTGCCTGCGGGACTCAAAAAAGGAAATAGCTGGATTCAATTACCAAATATCGCTTCCATTCGGATTCATTTCACCCCGTCTGATGTTTCTCCCGCCTTCTCCGAATCTTGCCCGGACTCCCTCTATCAAGGGACATCTTTGACCAAAAATGACCTGTCTCAATCACCCTTTTCGCTCAACTTCTTGTCCACTTTCTCTAGCTGCATCTCCAGAACCATTTTGTGTAACATTGGCAGTTCTTCGAACTTGGCGTAAAGATTGGATGGCTCCTCCTGGACGATTGCCAATAAATTTGCCACCAAATATTTTGATATGCTTTCTCTAATGTGATCGTCGGCGTCGCAAGTCGAGGATACGGAGAACACTGCCTTTGCGAAAATAAGAAGTCCATGAATCGGCCAGGGGTTCAATGCTGTGAGTTTTTCAGCTAGGAGTTCCATCAGCTCCTCTATTAGCATCTCGCGAGCTATCTCCCAAGTTTTTGCGCACTTGATCAACGCTTGCTGTCTCTCCGTTGGAGAAGTGATATTCTCTAAGTGGACATCTTTCGTTCCTCTATCTAGGAGGCGGGGGCTGAAATCGCCTACTGAGAGATACTCGGCGATGCTAATGAAGTTTTTGGGGTTTAAGTTTTGGTAGGCAGGACGTCGCATGACCCAACCTGAGTTGGTCTCCCAAACCTTCACGTCCCGAAAGCATCCGAGATCGTCAACTGACTTTCGCGGAACACTGAAAGGTTTTTCTGGTTTACCAATGTAGAACGTGACGATATCGTCAACGGCCCTAAGAAAGTTGTTTAATTGTCGAGATTACCGTTTGAATTGACTTTTGGGGAACTTACTCAGTATTCCAGATGCCTTGAGAAAGGTCCGTGGGTGGCGACCACGAGGAACTCCGGTTTTGTTTTGCGAACGTAAGATCGAAAATCCTCTCTGTGCTTGCCCGGTTTTGTGGGCTTCGAGGAGAAGGACTACTGGAAATGGATATACGGTCCAGGTCATGCTTTACATTTCGAACTTTGGCTAACGGGGTTAAAGAATCGAGCCTAGGAAGCTTGCGAGGGCTCGTACGGTTTATCACGCCGAAAGGACTGCTTTTTCTTTTTTGTGGCTGAGGGCTTTCACACAGTGCGTCCGAATACTGCAATGACTCTTGACTTGATTCTAGCTCCCTAATTTCTTCAGCTTCGAACTGTTTTTCCAAAAGTTTAGCAACCCAATAATCAAGTGGCGGATAAGGATTATCGGGACCTTGAACTTCACCGTAGGCGCTGAGAAGGTCGGCCCCTAGGTTCGGCGAGGCTTCTACCTCAATCGGATGGAAATCTGCGACATCCCCTCGTGTGACCCAAATGCTAAGGTTCCATTAGTTGCGGAAATGTGCACTTGGCCTGGAGTGAGCAGTAAACATACAATTTCAGTTTTTGCATGAGGAGAACTGGAAAATTGAACCCAAGCGGTCTATTTCTCTTTACGTCCTTTGGAAGCATATCCTCGTGGAATATCACAGCTGGCCATGGTGGTCCTGGTGTCGACGGAGATAAGACGAGACAGTACGTTTCTGGGGTAAAGCCAAATGCTGAGCTCATGTTGGAAGATGGAAGTAACTCTGTCGCAATGAAGGTTGTGGAAATTGAACGTAGCGAGCAGAACGGCTGCGAACGTAAGGTCCAGCCCTTTTGAAATTGCGACCGAGGCGTTATGAGAAGAAATAATGGCGGAAGTAAGAGTTAGTGAGAGAATAGGCTCAGAGTCCGAGAGGCATTGAGGAGTGGTTAAGAAGAGAAGCTTTTGCAATTTCTTCAAGGACAGAACTGAGGTCTGGATGAAGAGGTGGGGCGAAATGTTGGAGAAACCCAAGACCGGTTATCGATAGAAATAAGAGCAATTGTGAAGCCAGGTGTGGGTCGTAACGTCCTTAGATCATCAACGCGTCAACCGATTACCTTTCCAAACCGTTAGTGGACCGAGAGCTCCGAAGTGAACGAAGTGAAAACAAGCTGTCAATCATTGGTATCTCGTTCGGTTGATGTTCAAATGAATTGGCTGACATATGTGTCAGTGCACAGATAGGTCAGGCCATGCTGGTTGGCATACACGCTGTGAAGGGTTCAGGATGATTGCGAGGAGTTATAACTCTCAGAAGCTGAATGAAAGTGGAAGGAATTTGGAAGGGTAAGGTAAGATATCGAAGTGAGAGGTCGAAGTGAGAATGCATTATTAGTCTCAAGCCATGAAAGACAATTTATACTAGGAAATGATGGCATCGCAAACGCAGCGAATGGAAAGCCATGGAGAAGGCGGCCTCTTCCCGCTCAGTGCAGAGGTCTCCATCCTTGCTCTCAACTTCGTTCTGAGTGTACGTGTCTCCAGAATCGTGAATTTAAAGCAAAGACCATCCAAGATCTCGATGTTTTGAGCGGGATGAAACAATGCCAAGGACTAAGTTGGAGATGGATGGTAGAAATCTCAAAGATCGCAGCATCACGTGCCCGCGAAGTTCCCAAGCAATATCTGGCCCAAGTCCCTAATTCACCCACGCTCTTCCATAGTATAAAATTCTCCCAACCACGCATCTCAGCACCGCAATCAAGACACAGATACCTTCTCCTAATCTGAGGTACCGAATCCCCCCTAAAACCTCTTCACCCACACCCCACAAATCCACTCATCCACAATTCTCAGCCTTGCCTTCTTCTAGAAGAAGTTGGGGAAGAAGGGATGAGTGAGGGCGAGCATGGCATGGACATAGAGTTTAGAGTTATGTGATATGATTCAGGCATGATTCAGGCATGATTCAGGCATGATTCTTGAAGGCATATGATGCCCAAAAACGAGATGCGAGCGCTTTTAATATTGCGTATTATGGAGTATGGATAGGGGTGCCATTCAGGCTCAGACCAACACAAAGTAACATTCCATCACCAAGAATCTCTTCATCCGCCGCGGTGAAATATGATTCCCTTGCATTATACGCCCTAAAAAGAAAAAGAAATGCGGAAGGAGAGGTTCGAACTCGATCCCTGCCTTTCAGTGATCGTGTGGTCGCTGGGGAGGCAGTACCTTAACCACTTGGCCACTCCCGCGTGTTTTGATTGGTTGAGAGGGAGCAAACCACCGTATATAAAGGACAAGTAGACAGGATCAGCGAGGCGTTGCCAGTAAGAGACGGATAGGCCGGAGTCAGATGATGCAGGAAACCGTAGATAGATGAGATAGCGGTGATGGTGAGGTTGTGAGGTTAGATGGCGTGATTGAGTTGGATAAAGGTGAAAGGGTAGCCGCATGATGACCGAGGACGATGGTTGGATAAGCTGTCATGACTGCCTTATTCAAGGGGACCTATTTCGGTATATCAGTTACCTCGAGAAAGACTGGACGGATTGGGGTTTATCACAGAGAGATTTTCATGTCGCAAGTAGCTAGTATACATCGAGGAATCACTATGCCTTAAGAAGCATTTCCGAGCTCGTCAAATCAGCTCGAGATGTCGCGCCTGAAGTAGTAGGAGACGCAACATGATGGGCGACAGCATGCAGCTGACACTCATGTGCTACTGCGGACACTTCTGAGACCACACGTTTCTCAAGCTTGCAAAAACCTCCCGTCATCGAAGAAAGAAAGCAAAGAGAAGAACCCGATTACCAAGATCCTGAGTCCACTAGCACCGCACCGTCTCCGACCCGGGATATGAAGCAATGTCCGCCGCAATAAAACAAGGAAAAAGGTGGTGAGATGAGGACCGCAACAGACGAGACGTGACCAAAACTAGGTGAGAGTGAGAGTGTTGCATGTCAACATATCTCTACTCATCTTCCTCCTCATCGTCCTCGGCACCCTGAAGGAGTTAGTTGACGAGATCGTAGTGCAGGATGGTTATTGATGGGGCATACAGCAGCATATGCAGCCTTCTCCTCCTCGTAGCGCTTCTTATCAGCCGCAGCCTTGGCCTCATAAGGAGTACGCTGCTTCTCGGATAACGCCTTCCACTTCTCGCCAAGCATCTTGCCAACCTCGCCTGGGTTGGACTATTAGTGGCCGATCGTGTGAGAGGCTACTAGAATGACGTACCGAACTTGATGCCAGGATTGTCCTCACGGACCTTGTCCCGCTGCTCGTTTGCGAAGAACATGTATGCAGACAGACCACGCTTGGGCGCGTTAGGATCTTTGACTTGGGTGAGTGATTAGAATGTATAGAACGCGATGGCGAGTTGAACAAACCCTTCTTCTTCTTGCCAGTATCGGCCTTGGCGGCCTTGGCCTTACGGGTGGTAGTCTTCTCCTTGGGCATTTTGAGCTGATGTGTCTGGGGAGAAGCGACTGTTAGCTTCACTCAGCCGGCCTGTAAGATGCGAATTGATGATGAGACCAGCCATAGAGCACGCAATGGAACGGGCTAGCTGCAGCGCGAGGCTATTATTTCTTTATTTCTGAGGGCAGGAGCAGACAGACGACGACAATGAAAGCGAAACATGAAATACGTAGCCGAAGAGTAGGCGTGAAGTGAAATGAAGTCATGTGCTGGTGGAGTGAATTGCGTGTTGCCGCTGGAGCGCGAGATCGCCATTTTCCAAATTGGGTTGTCACGGTCGCAAAACCACAATAAGGCGCAATCAACGGGAATTTGGCGGATAGACAAACGGGAAGCGGGCACTCACCGAGAATAGATGTGCGATCAGGAAATCGAGGTAGGTTTGGTATGCGACTATGGTGGTGGTTAGTATGGCTGGTCAACAAGGTGCCGCGCCAGCGATGTGAAGGCCAAACAGAGGATGAAGGCTGCAAAGATGACGACAATAATAGAGTTTGAAGCACATGTCGCGAGGAAATGGGGTAAAAACGCGTGTTTAAATGCGTGGAGTGGAGTGTTGAGCGTCGTGCCGGTGATGGGAATATATCAAAACAGTCAAGCGAAGCTCACCAGTTTGTTTTGCCTTGGGCGCAGAGAGAGGATTTTGTATGAGAGAAGTGGAGGAGAGCAGTTTGTATGAGGGGCGGGGGCAATGCCTTTTGCTATGGGAGCCCATCCTGCCAGGCCGCCGCTGACATAAGGCACACTAACAAAGAATGGGCCAAGCACTCGGGCAAGCAGGTGCGGACAAAATAGTGAAGGGCGCTGGAGGCCCTGAGCCTGCAATAATTTTACTATACAGAAACAACTGCAAATATCACCATTTTCTAGTCCTGCAGAATACAATGTTCATAATACATTTCTTCCCATCTCTCTAGCTCTGCGTGCTGTCGAGCTGTGCCTCTCCCGCCATTGTTGTGGTCGGGCAGCTTTCAAGGAAGAGAGGGAGCGGCTCCATGCCTGGCAGCGCTACTCTGATACAGCGACACACATTCCTGGTTTCATGCGACCCGTTTATATTGCACGCTGTTGATAACCGGAGCCCATTCGCTCAGGCGCCGAAATTGGCCTGGGAACGCGTTATCTACCTGCTCACCGTCCTGCGGGCTGGCTGAAAGGGCGACGCACCGCAACCAGCGTTCCGTATAGCACCCGGCCTCCCTCCAGCCAGGACCAGCTCACATGTGACGGGATAATATCTGCCCACCTGCATCTGTAGGCATCGAATGACCTTAAAAGAAAGAACAGCGCTCTGAAAGCAATTACTTGAAACCTGCGGCAATCTGTGCGCCTGGTTGCATCACTGGAAGACCTCGCGGAGGGGTATCTTCGCCCACCAGGGCTTGTCTGGACTGGAATTGGATTGCCAAGACACTGGTACAAAAAACAATCTGGGGGTCAATTATTTTGACATTCGCGACATCACTGTTCAAGAGTATCAATTTCGAACGCTTAATCCTCCCGATGTCGCTTTCAGGTCATGCTGAGGCTTCCCTTGTCACGTGATGGGTATGTGTTGGGCGTCCTCGTGGCATCAGTTTCGTGTTACGTAGTGCAAGGACGACAATGGCATGAGAAAGCCGATGCAAAGTAACAAGATGAGAGCGAATACACACATTTCGGCAGCCAGTAAAGATTGCAAGTGGTAATACATGTGGAATTGGGTCACTTTTACGAAGATACTGCTTTGGGAAGTAGTGGCAGACGAACTCGCGGTCAAATCGTCTCAAGCGCACTGCTTTAACGGAAGATCTTATCGCCGCCGCTATATCTAATTAAACGCAGGGACAGCCCTATCTGCAAGTGGCCTGCATACCGGTGGGCTACATGGCAGTAGCAAGCCCGGGAGCAGTGCAAGCGAAGAAAGACGAACTCGGCGGACTCAAAAGACGTGTAGCTAGTTACACAAGTTTCTGCAGGGGGATAATATTGTTAAACATCGGTGATAAGGCCCCATTGGCTCCATCATTTGGTCTTCCTGGATCGGTTGCCTCTCACCGATGCGCCCCTGCCCGCTGTCGAAACACAACCTTTCTGGTTGCAGCAAAGCTCCCCGATGGGGGCCGATGTGGTCTGGTGTCGGTAGTGACCTTAAAACTTTGGTTTGTCGTTGCCGTCGTGAGTACAATACCTTCAGGCTTTCAAGGCAAGCCGGCAGATGTGGGATGTTGGCGTCAGTTTGAGGTACGGTTCGGGCGCGATTCGCACCTCACTGGATTTCATCCTCGTCGTCCATAACCAGATCCCTTAACACTTCATCCTCTGCCCAGTTGATGCCACTCCCAACTATCATACCAGACACAATGCTCTTCATGATCCGCCACCGCCTTCTTGACATTCGCATTCGATTCTCTAACTCTTGAAGCTGTGCGCGCAGCTTTTCATTATCAATTTCCTCAACTGATTGAGTCTTCATCTTCTCTGCAAGCGCTAAAAGAGTCTGAGCAAGCTCTTTATTCTTTTCATTCGCCATGATGTTACTCTTCTCAGTCGCCGCCAATGCTGTTGAACTTGAAGTAACTTTGGAAGTAAGGGATCCGTGAACCATCGAAAGAATATCCCGCTCGTTTATCAATGGGAGAAGCCGTCTAGAGTTGGTTAACAGAATAAATCCCCCGGTGAAATATCGAGATGTACCTTTCAGCCAAGGTAGTACTAGAACCTCCATGAACTGCTTTCAGAACGGGATCCGTGATCATAAGATTCTGAGTAATCCTGTTCCGCAACAAGTACTCTGTTCTTGCTTCAAGCGCTTCACGTTCCGCAATGATCAGCTGCTCTTGTAGTGCGTCATCTGATATGCCTGAGGGATCTTGCTGCAGGCCTGCACTCAGTCAGAGACATATCAAATACCACATGGGCATAAAACATGCCTAGGTTTTGTGCTTCGTACAAATTACTTTCAAGCTGAATCTCTTGTTCCTGGTCATATAATTCCAGAATCAACCTCTCTTGATCGGATAATGCAAACGCGTCGCTGTGAGTCGTATTTATCAGTTCTGAAAATGGTGACGGCTGTGACGTCGAGCCTAGGGGGGCCGGTTCTCCGGTATGGTCCATTATATATAGCAATATCTTTGACCTGGCTAATGAAATTTATGCTGTTGTTTGTCTTGTGAGAAGCGCGTCAGGGAGCTACGGGAAGAGCGTTATTGCCCTCGCTGGGGACCGTGCACATGACACCGGCTTGGCGATTGGCCATTTGCCTGGAGCTCGTTCAAATCTCCACATTCGCCGACAACCTTTACGCTCCTGTGGGAGCAGGCTTCTTTTATACAGGAAGGGAGTTGCGGATGTCACTCCAAGTTGCTGTAGCCCATACGGGTCAACGGCTCGACGCCGATCCTGTCACCTTCAACTCTGTGGATGCCTTCCGAGCATGGATATCGAAAGCCACCCAGATACCTACTCAGGACCAGATTCTCCTAACGCCCAGGAGCAAGCATGTCAAGCTTCAGGCACTCTTGACAGAGGTACCTAAAGTACACTTGTGACCGTATATTCGCGCTAATATTGTCATTTGCAGAAAGAAATATTTGTCTACGACCGTAATCTTTTTACCCTCTCCGCCTCAGAGGCCCCGGGATCCGTTATACCTCCTACACCGCTACCGGAGCCCTTTATTGCAGAAAACCCTCCAGATACGCTTTCGAATCACACCGATTTGAAAGCATGGCAGAACTTATTCAAGGCCCGACGAGACTGGGCTTTAGCGATCGTGCAGACGGCCCAG